CTGTAGCTTCCTCTCTCAGGCTGGTCAAGTTAGCAAGCATAGCTTAAATCAGGGCTCTGCAAATCTGGACCTCAATTCCAAATCCAGGCCTTGTTTTCAGTTCTCCCTAGTCAGCTTAATAATTCCTGATTCTGATTGGCCACAGAGGCTTCACACCCGGCTCACAGGTAAAGGAAGGCTGGAAAACCAGCAGGGCTCGGACCTTGAGGATCGTGATTTGAGTAGCCCTGACTTAAAAGTTACATGTTCAAACCCAGGAAACTCTGCTGATGAACCCCTGAGCAAAGGAATAAAAGTTTGAGACAACTGAACAAAGAACAAATAAAAATATTAATATTAATAATAATCCCTAGTTAGGCTCCTCAGCATTTGAGGCAGGATCTCTCTCCTCAGGTGCATTAGGTGTGTCTATACCCAGCGAGGCCGAACCGCGTGTGTGTGTGCGCTCATATATATATTACATTGTGGGGACCAAATGGCCCGGGGTGGGGGGTGGGACTCACTCTTGGTGACGCAGTGCTCTGCGGGCAGTAGGCGCTTCTTCATGAGGCCCTGCAGCACAGAGCGGACAGTGGGTCTGTGCACCAGCTGCAGCACGAAGAGGTGAGACTGGGGAAGGACGGGGGGGGGGTTGGTGTTATCATCCAAAGATCACCAAGGAAACCTGTCATGTGTTAGGCTACAAAACGGGGGCCAGTGATGCCCCAACCCGCAGTACTCATTTAATGATATATCAGTTTAACTAAAATGGTAACGTTAAGGTCAAATTTCTATGTCATATATTCCTGAGGAGAGAGACACACGTTCATTCACTCCCTCCGGCCACAATGAAAGAATAAGGAAGGGGAGACTAACGCAGCAGCAGGCGGTGACCGTGATCTGGATGGTGTTCCGGCCCGGCTGGCACACGTGCTTCAGGTACAGGGGCTTGTGGGACGTCTTGTTGTCGCCGCGCTCGATGGTGAGGGGCGTGGCGTTGACGCTGACCTGCACCGAGGCTGGCCAGTTGGTGTTCATCTGGCGGTCTTCGTGGTGGTAGCATTTGAACTGCAGCTCCAGGTCGGGCCTGTGAGTACACACACACACACACACACACACACACACACACACACACACGGTCATCAGCGAGGGCCACTCCTGATGCCCGATTTCTTGGCGTCATCACGGCAAAGGGGGACCCCCACCTAAGCATGAGGGTCTTGTACACAGAGTCCCGAAGCTGGAAGACGTGGTTGCTGACGGCCAGGTTGTGCTCCAGGCGGAACGGCTCCAGCACCACCCCATCCCGCACCGGGAAGGTCAGCCGCAGCTCGTCGCTGGGGTTCCCTGCTGGACGGAGCCAGGAGGGCCTGGAGTTAACCTCAAACACAGCCGACCTGCTTCAGCACTGAGCTACTCACCAAACTGTGCTGTAGACCCTCAGCGTGGAGCTCTCCGTCACTGACTGGCTATCTGTGGCCACAGCCCAATGAGCAGCCCTGCCCCATTAGTCTGATCATATTTGCCAATTTCTTCATCACAAATTAATCAGTACTTTCTATAGGCTGCAGTAGTATGAAGAGCAATGGAAAAGCCCGACTGGTTTATTGGTTAAACAAATCAGGCCTGATCTGGAGCAGCGCTGCCCAGGAGAACTATACCCTGTCATGATCTCCAGGCATCCAGGAAAAATGCTCAAAAGTATCTGAAGCCCCACATTATCGGAGCCATATTGTCTGAGTAAGAAAAATTATCATAGTGATTCTTCTCAGAGCAAAGCAGGAATTTGCACCCAGGGATCCACCAGGGATCCACCAGGCGATCAGAGTCCGGATCAGAGCAGACATGCAAAACCCACCACTTACTAAACAGCACCTGAAAATTTATCTTGTGTTTACCAAAAACCATCTGCAAGAGGTGTTGATGAGGCCAACAGGTCATACAAGAACCCTGGGCATCTTTCAAAAGAGTAGGGGTGGTGCCCCCATGTCCTGGCTAAAATAGCCCACTATGGCCCTATCAGATCTGACCTCCTAATCATCCTCTATATCAGTGGTTCCCAAACTGGGGGGCGCAGAAGTATTGCGGGGGGGCGCACCAATGGGATAGCCTCAGGGGCATGTGCCACCCTAAAATAATCTCTTCACAGACTGGACGATTAAACAAATAAAGCAGCGCAACATTACAGTAACTAACAATAGATAAACCACTAACTTACGTGTACTATTACAGCATTTCTGTAATTTATTTAAACTTTATTTTACCAGGTAAATTAACTGAAAACCAGTTCTCACTGCTTTACGTGATATTCGGGAGAAATAGCAGATAACGCATCGGAACTGCCTGGGATATAAACGTCACGTTCTTCAGCCAATAAGGGCAAAGTTGTGTCGTCACGGAGGCAGTTCCAGTTTGTGCAGCCGGCTGAGATGTGCTATACGATCTGTCTTAAGTCGTCTTGCTCTTGCAAGGTTTTTGTACCATGTGACATGGTGACGTGTGAGGACGTTTTGCAGCGCCGGACAAAAAAATCTAAAACGAGGTTTAAAATGTTCTACATGAAGTGCAGGGAGACTATCAATTAATGGGTATGATTTAGTGTTGTTTTGTGCTATAGTATAGGCTGAAACCTGCAGTTATCATTAAAAACAAAATGCGGTAATTGTAAGACAAACTTTAATTTCAGTACGCCAATGAATATTAACAGGAACGTAAAATCTGCATTTGCATAATTTCAAACTTATGCTGGACTTTTATTTTTAATTGATTGCTCTTTTCTCTCCCACAGTGGTGAAATTGCACCATTTGTATTTTGTAATTACATTTGTTTCACTCAATTAGAAAAGGGAGTTGTATTTCAAATAAAGTTTGAATCTGAACCTGTGTCGTTTGAATGGGGGGGGGCTCAATAATGTTCCTATCTAGAAAAGGGGGGCCCTGCAGAGAACGTTTGGGAACCACTGTTCTATATCAAGTTGGTAATTCCCTACTGCCCCTTCACCACCTTAGCCACTGTGTGGTGAGCGTACTGGTGCAGAATGGCTGCTGTCGCATCATCCAGGTGGGGGCTACACAGTGGTGGGGGTTGAAGTTGCTTCCTATTGCTTCTAGATAAATGTTTTATGGATAGGCCAGTCCAATGCTACCCATCTGAGCAGATAGTCAGGTAAAAAGCAAACACACACAGCACATGACCTCAACCCAGGGGACAGGCCGGGTAGTGAGGGGGGGTCTTGGTTTGAGGGCACAAAACCATATTCCATCATAGAAGAAAGTATGAACTCCGCTCTGGAGAACGTTAGATGAGACGAGGCTCTGATGCACATTAACGCGTCTGCATCAAAACGACTGAAACTAGCTGCCGTGGCCCCAGTATACCCACACCTACAGCCTGTGAGGATGTCGCAGCCGTTCAGGGTCACAAGGTCAATGAGATGAAACGCTCTTCTACAGAGGTGTGACAGGGAATCGCTTTTCTCCTCACATGGCTCAGCTGCCTGTCTTTACCACATAACAAAACGGGTGCTATTACTTTACTCCGACTCCTGGTAATTGCTTTCTGAAAACCAGACAGGAGTCAAATCCCTTTACATCAGGCTGAAGAGCAAGACCACAGAAAAATAAAAAAATCGACTGGAAGCCTTGGCCAGGACTGGTGGCCCATACCTGGAGGGGGCGGCGGAAGCGAATTCATGTTGGGCTTGACGTCGGGCAGGAAGGGCGATTTGACGTCGTGGCTTGGGGACATATAGGGGGGCACGGAGCTTCCTGGGGTCATGGGGGGGGTTGGGTTCCCGGGGAGAGGAGAGCTAGGGTACCCCGGCATGGTGCGTCCCGGCTGGACCAGAGGGCGAGAGAAAACAAGAGCACAGTTAGGCAGGCCCACAGAGAAAGGTCAAAGGTCAGCTGGGACTGCCGCTGTATGACTGGGCGACAGGACGTCAGCGAAGAGGCCCTCACTCAGCTGGGCGATCCGGGAAACAGGAGCGTTTCAGGTTAACATCCTGAGAGGGGTGTGACAGAATGGACCCTCCTCAAGGTCCAATTACAAAGATAAGTACTGGGAAGGTCTCCATGTTTTCCGTCTCGCTGGGACTTTTAGACCTTCCAAAATCTTTTGAATTTTAAACGGGCAAACACAGTGGACGGCTCCTCTCACCCCATTGACGGAGGCCTGGTTGAAGGTGCTGTACCCCGGTCCCCCAGGGCCCCCTGCTGGCATTGCAGCTATAGTCTGTCCATTGAACTGCTCCCCCTGGTGGATGAACATGTGCATCAGTGCGCAGCCCGGCACAGCGCCACCAGGAGGCGCACACTCTAGAATAACGCGAGGCGGTAAATGCCTGACCTTGTAGTACTGGCCCAGGCTGGCAGACACGGCCGGTAACTGGCCCACGTTCGCCTGCTGGAGGGACATCCTGTGGCTGGGGTAGGAAGGAGAAGGGGCAGAGCGCTGGGGGCCGGGGCTGTGGTACTGCATGGGATGCCCAGGGTACGGGCCGGTGCTGGCCAGTCCGGGGCTGTACTGCTGTCCCGGAAAGCCCTGAGGGGCAGAATTGCCAGCTTCAGAAGCACAGACTGGGCTAATTCCACAGCATGGGGTATATGAGTCGCCCTGCCTCTCCATCTGCATCTCAAGCCGTTCCTCAAGAATTGTTGTGCAGCTCTTGCTCCTATACAGCTTACGCTTACTAGGCAGTCATCGGGAGCTCGGCCCGGCCGCACTTCTGCCTGGTCGAGTCCTCGACAGCACGTACACCTGTAATGCCGTTTGCCTCACTTATACATTTGCTTTGTGTAAAAATGTCTGCCAAAAATGTAAATGAAAGTGTTCAACCAGAAGCAGTTATACCCTTACGAAGAGCTCGGTGGGAAAAGCACACTATGCTATGTTTGGCAGTTAAATGAGCTTTTGCACTCTGACCTGGCGATTCACGCTCTGCGTGAGCGCACCCTGAATGCCTATAGGTAGGGTACTTTATTCAGGTAGAGCCCGGGCACTACCTTATAAGGCTCTACCTTTATAAGGAGATAGCAGAGCTCTGGGTGATCGGCGAAGCAGAGCAGTGGTTATACGGCTCAGATTTATTTATATGGGATCTGATGAGTGAAGGTCTGACCTCATTTAGCCTCAGTACTCAGCCGAGTGGTGCTTCTGTGCAGTGTGTCACACACCCCCAGCAGCTTACCTCGGAACCGTAGGGACGCTTCAGCCCCTGCTGTGGCCGGGGAGGGCCCTGCTGTCCCCCATGGTAGCCCGGGTGCTGCGGCAGCCGCTGGCCCTGCGCCACATACATGGGTCCCATAGACGAGGGCCGGGCCGGGCCCATTCCCGAGGCGGCCATGCCGGGGGGGCCTCTGGGGCCAGCATGAGGAAGGAACTGGCTGTTGTAAGGAGACGTAGCGCCCATCTGCGGGAGGGGGCAGTATAATAACAACAAAAAATAAAAGCATGAATGACAGCTGGAATTCTGGAAGAGCTGACTGACTGAGACTGACTGAGACTGACTGAGACTGACTGAGACTGACTGAGACTGACTGAGACTGACTGAGACTGACTGGAGACACAGCTGAGCTTGCGGTGAGAGCAGCAGGACGTGTCCATCTCCACAGAGGTTGAGCACGACACACACGCCAGACCATGCACTGTGCAAAATAATCAGCCATTTCCTGTCATAAATCTCACCATAAATTTGTTACTGCATAAGAGATTGGCAGAAGAATAATTCCCTCCTCTGGTCAAGGGGGGGTGCAAAAATCACTTGTGACTTTTTGTGAGCCTGAATGCTCGTCAGAGGGAGAGAGGATCAGCCTCTGCCGCCCCCCCCCCCACTCTGCCTGTAATGCCAGCTGTCTCCCTCCACAGTGATATTACATACATGGTAGATAATGCAAAGCCTGCCACATGAAAAGCCAGCACCGGCCCCCACAGGTAACCCCCCCCAGTCAGTGTACCTGGCCATAACCCATTTCCTGGTTCTGCTTCTCCTGGATGGCAGCGACTGTTGCCGTGGCGGTGGCGGTTGCCGTGGCAGCGGCGGCAGCCACTGCGGCGGCAGCGGCGGCCTGGGTGAAGTCGGTGGAGGGCCGGGCACCATGAGAGGGCATGCCGAGGGATGCCCCTCCACCGTGGGGGTAGCTGGGGGCATAGCGATAAGGCACCTCTTTTATTGGTGGCTAAAAATAGATGATGGAACGTGACTGGACTGACAACAGATGCATAACGACATTCCACACATATATGCTTGGCAAGTTCGCATTTTGTATAATTATGGGCGTCAGCTTGTGCTGTGCTAATGATTAACGAACTATATTCACTTAAACAGGCTGACAGTTTAGGGAGGAGAGACACATGAGCGTCGTCATAGGGTCCAGGTTTTTAGCTATGTCATTGTGAGGCGCAAGGCTGAGCCTCGTTAACCGTGTTCCCCGGGGTGGGGTCTTACCTGCCCCCATAGCTGGGGCCCACTGGATACCCCGCGGGGGGGCGGCCATACAACCCCTGCTGCATGTAGCCCTGCTGGCCCAGGAACTGCGGGGAGCTCATCCCGGGGCTGCCGCCGGGCATCATGGGGCCTCCCGCAGAGCTTCCCCCGAGGACCTGCAACAGGGGGGGTAGGAGACAGGGCACAGGAGATGGGGGGGGGACAGGAAACAGGGACAAGGAGACAGGGACGAAGGGACAGGAGACAGGGGCGAAGGGACAGGAGACAGGGGCGAAGGGACAGGGACGAGGGGACAGGAGAGAGGGACAAAGGGACAGAGACGAGGGGACAGGAGACAGGGACGAGGGGACAGGAGACAGGGACGAAGGGACAGGAGACAGGGACGAGGGGACAGAGACGAGGGGACAGGAGACAGGGACGAGGGGACAGGAGACAGGGACGAGGGGACAGGAGACAGGGACGAAGGGACAGGGATGAGGGGACAGAGACAGGGATGAGGGGACAGAGACAGGGATGAGGGGACAGGGACAGAGACAGGGACGAGGGGACAGGAGACAGGGACGAAGGGACAGGAGACAGGGATGAAGGGACAGGAGACAGGGACGAGGGGACAGAGACAAGGGGACAGGAGACAGGGACAAGGGGACAGGAGACAGGGATGAGGGGACAGAGACAAGGGGACAGGAGACAGGGATGAGGGGACAGAGACAAGGGGACAGGAGACAGGGGTATAAGCAGTTAAGAACACACGGGCAAGACAAATGATACACGGACACAGAGCAACAGATGACAGAGGAACTGGTACTAAGCTACTATGTGATTAAAGCAGTGTCACTCTGTGCCGGAGTTATGTTGAGAGGAGCACCCCCTTCCACAGCTCCCTTACTCCCCGTCTCAGCTGAGAGGCGGCGCCTACCTGGCTGGGCGATGGATTGGTCACCCCCCACACGGTGGTTACCACGGAGAGGGAGCCTGCGGGCTGATTGGTGCCTTGCTGCCAAGAGACGGGTTCATACGGGTAGGAGCTGTCACTGTGGGGGGGGTGGGGGTGTGTGGTTATCGAGGGCCAGAGCAGAGGCAACACAGTCATCGACAAGTGATATATCAGAATTAGAAACTGTTGAAGTCGGCTGCTTTCCAGCTCTCTGGGGGAAGAAAACGCGCAAACAGACTCTATGGATTTCATGGCTGGGGGTGAAGCAGACAGATGGCTTTGGGGAAGTGCTTCACCACACATACCCGGCACAGGCCCTCCTCAGGCGCCCCGCAGCGGCCAGCAGTGCTCAAGGCGTCTCCCTTCATCTGGCAGCTCAAACACACGCACACACATCACACACGCCACATACATGCACACGCCACATACATGCACACGCCGGCAGAGCGCGGCACAGGGGCACTCGTGTGCGACTGTCTGTGCGTCTAAATTTGACTCGTGCGTCTCGGTCACATGCTCACGGAGTACTCTGCGCTCCCTGTTTCCATGGAGACAGTGCCGTCACTTAGCTACGGCTGAGAGCAGCGCGTGCGCAGGCGTGTGACTCTGCCTGTGTGTCTGTGTGTGTGCGGGTGTTTCTTTGTAACTCACACTGGATTAAACAGGACTGCTCTAGTTATCCCCCGCGCCCCCCCCCTCACTTTCCATAATTAGCCTGCCGCGTGCAGCTCCAGGGGACGCAGGAAGACGCCGAATCGTGTGCCCAAAGACCATTTCCTGTGCTGGGTGGGGGGGGGGACAATGGTGCACTGTAATTCGCTTTCCTGCGTAAGCCACACATGCACATACATAGATACAGGTACATTATACACACACAGACACTATGAGTATAATAATAAAGACTTACAGACATTATTATATGCTAAATTTGTCTGTGTTCATTCACTGCACTTGTGACGAACAGTGAAACAAAGGAGACGGTGAGGTCAGTAAGGCAAGAGGCTGGGCGGCTCACTCCCGCTCACTCCCGCTCACTCCCGCTCCCTCAGGCAGACAGACACGGACGGAGGCGAGCCGTTCGCGATGCCTCTGTGCCCCAGCGGTGGACGCAGTCTCCACACAGCACGTGCTGCCGTCCATAACAAAACCGCAGTCTTACTGCTAACTGAATTGCTGCTGCAGTAAGGTACCTTGCAGACAGAACCCCTGCCCCCCCCCTAACACCCCCCTGGCTCTCACAAGACTCTCAGGCTGAGGTTTCTGTCAGGTTCCTCTCCCTAAACCACCGGATGTCCGCACCCCCTCCTGCAAACAGGAAGCCGGTGCTCCTGAGCCAAGCTTTCAGGCGCCCAATCACAAAGGACACAGGGATGCAGGGCTGCATGGGGGACCAATAGGAGTCGGCGTGTGGCTACCGCTGACCACACGCTGCCAAGATGAGCATCATGTGTGTTTATCTCGCTCCCCCACGTCTGTTTCCGGCGCGTTCTCAGCGTCTTGCTGTTATGCCCACGACACTCCCCCGCTCAGCGTACAAAATCCCCTCATCATTCACATCTTGCTCAGGCTTCACTTTAAGCGGCAAGGAAAACTTTCGTTTGTTTCCTTTATTTGTTTCTCAATACAGACCATTTCTCTTAAGGGGTCTACAAGAACAGAACAGAGAGACTCAGCCCAGCCTCGGTGTACAAAACTCTCGACCGATGCTAAACTGAACTGGACCGGGATGGGAGCCGTTCGGAACCCCGCGGAATGTTCCAGGAGCATCTGGAGGCTTCCCCCCCCCCCAAATTCAGATATGGAAACAGTGTCAGGGCAGAGGGCAGGGGGCAGAGGAGAGAGAGGGACGGACACTGACCTGTGTGGCGTCAGAGGCAGGCCAGGTTTCATGGAGTTGGTGGGGTTCATTGGAGGGGTCTGGGGGTCAGTGGAAAACCCCGGAACTCCTCAAGCCAGCTGGGAGCCTGAAAGAGAGCCGCCTCCTGTTATCCAAGGGAAGGGGTAGAGAGACCAAGAGCAGAAGGCTGTCCTCGAATCTTATGAAGGACTCCACCTTTAAGACTCCCAGTTGCTAGCAGTTAAAATAGACGATACAGAAAAGCGACATGTCACATGACACTACATGGCGACTACTGCGTCTGCCAGATGCGAGGCCCACTTGGACAAGGAGACCACATCCACAAAGCTGCTGGCGTCACAGACACCCAGCCACACCTGAGTTGAGTACCACTTACACAAGAACAGAGTGACAAGGACCCTCGAAACGAACACACCAGCTAGGTTTCCATTCGCAAGAACGGCTAACAGAATAAACTGCAATCTGCAGGAATCTGCGAGACCGTCTCTGATTTTCTGGAATGATTTTCACTGGCTCCGCAGAAGGGAGAGAATGTGAGACAAGGAAAGCAGAGGGCATGTGAGCCGGACTGATCCAGTCTGCAGTGATGACACCTCATCCTGACAACTGGAAGCTGGAACATACAAGGTCATGGAGAAACGCTACTGGGCTACACTGCAGAGCAGAGACAACGAACATAACACTGCTATAAAGGTAAATAAAACCTCCCATTTTAAAATAAACTCATATAAGGTGTCTATTGCCTCTTAATGTCCAGACACATTACGTTCACACTGCTGGGTGTTTAATAACAATTCTGGCACCTCCTTTATGTGAGGCGTCCAATCTATCACACCCAACGACAATTTCCATCTTGGTGACCTTATCGTACCGCCCTTCCGGGGCAGCTCAGAGCTCCGGATGTCCCCTATGGACAGACGACAGGAAGCAAAGAGGATGCTGATGAACGCATCGACGTTACACAGCTGCAAGTGTCAAATGTGCATCGGTCTTCCTCACTTTGGTCACCTGATTTTGCCTGCTAACCCCACCCACCCCAAAACGGAAGAGAACGTCTGTTCAGGTGAGATGAGACAGCAGCTGGGACCAGCTGAAGAGAGTGATGGCAGGTTCACCTTGGGAGGTGGGGGCGGCGACCGGGCCAGGGGGCGGAGACCGGGCCAGGGGGCGGCGACCGGGCCAGGGGGGCGGAGACCGGGCCAGGGGGGCGGAGACCGGGCCAGGGGGCAGAGACCGGGCCAGGGGGCGGCGACCGGGCCAGGGGGCGGCGACCGGGCCAGGGGGCGGTCTCTGGTGGATATGGCCTGGAGCTTATGCACCATGCGGTGAAACCTTTAACTGATGGGCTAATTTGTCCCTCAAATCATCGCCATTCCCCCCTCCCTCAGTGTCCCTCCCCCACTGACTCCTGTATCAACATCTCCCTAGATGTAGGTCAGACAGCCTACAGCTGTAAGGGGTGGGGGGGGGGGCAGTGAAG